AACAGCCGGTCCTGAGCCCTGGGCTGCCCGGGAGGGGCAAAAAGGGCTCCACTGGACAGTGTCTTCAGGGCCAGGTGCTCCTGCCCCCCACGCCCTTCATCCTGCCGGACCTCTGACACCCTCCCAACCTGCCGACAAGTGGCTGGGGCCTGGAGCTGAGGGCAGTGGCTCAGCCCCCTTCGGCTGGCAGGGAGCAGGCAGGTGAGCCTCGACCTGGGCCCCCTGCAGGGCCGGGTGCAGGGCCGGGTGTGGCTCCAGGTGTCAGGTGGTGGCCACTGGGGACAGCACAGGCTGTCTGCCACTCCCTCCCTGCCAGGAGGCCCTGCTGCTGAGGCCCCCGCCACTCCCATCAGGGGACCCCTTGCTCCTCCTTGTTCGTGGGACCTGAACTTTGGACAGCAGGGCTTCTCAAAGGGGGCTTGTCCCACCCTCAGGGCCCAGGACTAGGGGCAGTTTCCCTTTGAAGAACTTGGCCTTGGGACCCCGCCCCGGGGAGAGGAGACCACGAAGCCTTTTGTGTGTCCTATACAGTTTCTTGTTCTGGTAAAGGATTTATATGACATCAGGTTCACAGCTCGGGGATACTCAGTGCACTGATGCTGCACCCCCAGCACCTCCATCCATCGGCAGAGCTCTTCCATCTTGTAAAACTGACCCCCTGTCCCCCTGAAACACTCACCGCCCCCCGTACTGGCACCTACCATTCTGCTCTTTGATTTTGATGACTTTTAAGTACATCATCTACGCAGAATCATGCAGGTTTGTCTTTTTGTGCCGGGGTCATGCCACTGAATGTAAAGTCTCCAAGGCCTGTGCGTGTGCTCAGGTCACGGTTTTCTTCCTTTTTTGTGCTGAGTAATATTCCACTTAATGTGCTTACCACATCTGCTTATCTGCCCATTGGCTGATGGGTACTCAGGTGTGTTTGTGTGTTGGCTTCTGTGAACACAGATGTGCAAATTTCTCTGCATGTCCTGGCTTTCAATTCTTTTGGGTGTGTACCCAGGAGCAGAATAGCCAGATCACATGGTAACTTTAATTTTTTGAGGAACCTCCATCCTATCTCCTACAGCGGCTGCCCCACTTTACATTGTTTCTGACAGCACAGCAGGGCTTTATTTCTCCACATCCTCACCAACACTTATTTTCTCTGTGTGTGTGTTCATAGTGTCCATTCTAACAGGGGTGGTGGTACCTCGAGCTTTGATTTGCATTTCCCTGGCGACCGGTGATGTCAAGTGTCTTTAAGTGCACTCACTGGTCATTAATCTTCTTCGGTAAAGCGTTTACTCAAGTCGCTTTTTGAATCAGGTTGCTTTTTTGTTTTGTTTTAGGAGTTCTCTATATATTCTGCATATTAACCTGTTATCAGATGTGTGATTTTTTAAATATATATTTTTAAATTAAAAGCATTTTTTAAAAGACTTTATTTATCTTTAGAGGGGAAGGGAAGGAGATAGGGAGAGAAATATCAACGTATGGTTGCCTCGTGTGTCCCCTGCTGGGAACTGGCCTGCAACCTAGGCATGTGCCCTGACTGGGAATCGAACTGCAATGCTCTGGCTCACAGGCCCACGCTCAATCCACTGAGCTACACCAGCCAGGGCTGATTTTAAAAATATTTTTATCCCACTATGTGTTTTGCTTTTTTTACTAAAACTTTTGAAAATGTATTTACTTTTTAGAGAGAGGGGAAAGAATGGAGAGAGGGAGAGAAGCATCAATGTGCAAGTGATACATTGATTGGTTGCCTTTTGCTCTCCCCCCACTGGGGACCTGGCCCACAATTCAGGCGTGTGCCCTGACCAGGACTCAAACCCGTGCTGGGTTCTCAGGCTGGTACTCAATCCATGGAGCCAACAGCAGCCAGGGCTTACTGTTGATTTTTGATATACAAATGAAAAAATTTTTAATCAAGTTCAATTGTCTTTTTTGTTGTTGCCTGTGCCTTTGGTATCATACCTAAGAAGTCATTTCCAAGTCCAGTGTCATGAAGCTTGTGCCTTAGTTTTCTCATTAAGAGATTGAGGTCTTGCATTTAGGTCTTTTCCTAGCCCCGTTTGTTGCAGAGATGGTCCTTTTCCCCATGGTCTTGACACCCTTGTCAAAAATCACTTGACCCTGTATGTGAGGGCTCTCTGCTCCCCACTTCAGGGAGGCCACCTGCGGGTCTCTCCCTGCCTCTGGCGCTCCAGCTGCCCGTCTCTTGCCTTCCAGCTCCGGTGAGAAGCTCGCATCACTGGCCCAGCTGGGCTCACCCACAGGCAGGCCAGCTGTGCAGATCCCCACCCACAAACAAATCATGTCTGCACATGTCACATCTGTGCACATGCTGGGGGGGCAGAGCACTCAATCTCAGGGCTGCCCCAAGTGCTGGAGGGGTGTCTTGGAAGACTCAGGCTCAGAGTGCTCACTCTTGATGCCCAGAGGCTGGAGCCCCGTTTGGAGCGACGGTGGACACTGCCCGCACCAGCGCTGGTTTTCAGATGTAGTTAAATCCTCCCAGAGCCACTATGAGGCTCTGATCAGGCTGACCAGCGTCACTGACACATCCTATCCCACAAGAGGAACAAGCAGCCACGGGCAGCCCCGGACTGTGCAACCAGGGACCTGGGTGTGGGGAGTCACGGGGGGGCTGACAAAGGGCAAGCAGGGGGTTTCTGGCCGGCTCAGCCCAGAGCAGCCCCTAGAGGGGCGGTAGAATACGTGGTCTCAAGCCCGCCCTCAAGAGGTGTGTTGTCTGGGAGATGAAGCACCAAGCGGACCTTTCAGCGGAGGATGGCCCTGTGCGCTCACAGGAATGTGGGGCAGGGACTCGGGAAGTCGCCTCTGCAGTCTGGGGGTTTTCTGTTGTTTTTTATTAATGCTTCTTGGCCCCAGGAGGGGGCTGGCACAGGCTTTTGTCCACTAGGGCTCTTAAGGACTGGAGCGGGGTGATGCGAGAGGTGGTAGAAGCGGTCCTTGGAGAGCGGTCAGCGGAGCAGCGCAGGGGCTTGGGTTTGACCTGGTTCTGCCACCAAGCTGCCTGCTCGCTCGGGACTCGAGTCTCGGAGGGATCGGCCCCTACGTCCCAGGACAGCGGACGCGGGACCTGGCACAGCCCTGCGGCGTCCCTCCTGAGTCCCTGGCCCACGCACGGCCTGGTTCTGTCCACCGTCTGTTCTCATCTTCCACTACACCCAGAAGCGTTCCTCCTCGGCTACTTCCGCGGGGTCCGTACCCGGACTGCTCGCGCATTCCAACGGATGACCACGCAGCTCGGTCACGCTCTGGCCGCCCGTGAGCGCCGTCCTCGCCGCCGCAGGCTCTCGGTGGGAGCCGGGACCGCGAGATCTCTCACTGCACGGGTGGCGGGGACTTCAGCTGGTTTTCAGGCAGAGCGGCCGCAAGCCCGGAGCCCGCGCAGTCCTACGGGACCTCAGGGCCAACCCAAGCTGGCCCATAGAACCCTACGAGCCTCCGGACGCCCCAGGTTCCAATTCCGCCCGCCTACCGGAAGCGGAAGTACCCTAGGGCGCCCGGCCAGGCGCTGCGCAGACTCGCAGCGGCACGCCGGGACCCGGAAGCACTCACCGAGGCCCCGCCTTTTCCACCAATATCGCTGCCGGGGGAGGCTGCTCTCTCTTTTCCCAGACGTGCTCGTGGCGGTGGCAGCAGGTAGGCCGCGTTGCCGGTGCTGGCTCGCGGGGACTGTAGGCGGGGGTCAGGGCGGGGGCTAGGCACGCGGGGTCAGGGCGAGGGTCAGGGCGGGGGCTAGGCGTGCGGGGTCCGGGCGAGGCCAAGGCGCGGGAACTGCAGTAGGGGGCCGGGCTCGCGGACACGCCTGGTGCTCGCTCACCCGCTGCGCGGGGCCCCGCAGGTGCGCTCTCAACATGCAGAACGACGCTGGCGAGTTTGTGGATCTGTACGTGCCGCGGAAATGGTGAGCGCCGTCCCCGCCACTGGTACTTTTTTCCAGCCGCCTTCACCCCATCCCTTTCCGCTCACACGTTTCTCCCCACAGCTCCGCCAGCAACCGCATCATCGGTGCCAAGGACCACGCGTCCATCCAGATGAACGTGGCCGAGGTGAGCCGGGCAGCGTTAGGGATTGCAGGGTGAGGGAGAAAGCTCTGGAGCGGGGGAGCGAAGCCTGGGCTTGCGCTAGCGTTGATAATTCCCAAACCCCAGGTTTAGAGCGAAAGGCGCTGGAGTGCCTGCCTGGTGTGACACTCGTTCTCCATCAATAGGTTGACAAGGTGACAGGCAGGTTCAACGGCCAGTTTAAAACCTACGCTATCTGCGGGGCTATTCGCAGGATGGTGAGTGTCTGGGGCTTGGCTCACCGGGGGCTTGGCTTACCCCAGCGTTTGAGAGCGGAATGGTGTATCTTGCCTTTTCTCATTGGTTGGAAGGATAGTTTGAGCCTGCGGGACTGGGTTGTGCTCACTGCCCACCCTGGGGAGGGCCGGAAGGTTGCTCAAAGACAGGACTGCCTTGGGAAAACTCAGCCAGCCTTTACTTTGGAGTTTTCCAGTTACCACGCTCTCCCCCTCCCCAGTCTCCAAGGCCTCCCCTGTCTGGCGAGGCGTGAGGCTGGGAGAGCCCCCCCCACCCCATTACTGCTGTGTGGCCATGCAAGGGGATGTGGCCAGCTGGGGGCAGCAGGAAACATGGCCTGTGTGCTTTTCCCCAGGGCGAGTCAGATGACTCCATCCTCCGACTGGCCAAGGCAGACAGCATCGTCTCAAAGTAAGGGGGAGTGCATGGGAGGGCGGGGCACAGAGGCTGGGACTGCTCCCCCAGAGCTGAGGCTTTACTATTGTTCTTCCTCTGTTCAGGAACTTCTGACTGCAGAGCATCACAGATGTGAGATTTTCCACAAATAAACAGTGAAACTCCCGTGTCGGTTCCCTGTGTGCTGGTGGGCAGGCCTCAGGCTCTGCGGAGCCAGGGCTGATGCTGGGCCGTGAGTGGCCCACGGGGGTGGGCCAGCCCAGAAAGGAGACGAGCTCTGAAGCGTGCTGTGAAACCACGTTTTACTTGAGAGCACAAACACAAACAACTGTGACGTGACTCAGTATTGAGGTCAGATAGTTGCTTAACGTCCACTGAAAATCCACAACTGCTACTGGGCCCACAGAGGGGCACCTGGCCCTCAACATCCCTCGGAGTCCGGGCTGGTTCTAGGGGACTGGGTTCAGGCTGAGGTTTGGCTGAAATCTTGGCTTTGCTGCAGGGATTCCTGAGCGCCACACAGTGGCAGCTCAGCATTACAAACACGAGTGGGGAAGTCATAGACAAGATTGACAAACAACTGGATCTTACGACATAAATAAGCAAACTTAAGTTACGGCATTTGTCAGCGGTTCTACAGCTGTACAGGAATCACCGGATGGTGGGTCCCTTGAGGCTGAGTTGTAAACCAGGACTTCCAGGGTGACAGTACTTATAACACAGACATGTCCTTGAGATGCTACGGGGGCCGGACAGGCTGCTGTCCTGAGGCCTAGCAGCCGCCACCTTCCTTCTGCTTCAGTTTGGGTCCAGGATGGGTGGAGGTGGACTGAGGCAGGTCGGGCAGCAGATGCAGACTTGGTCCTCCATTCCTTTCCCAGGAGTGAGAGAAGGAACAGGCCTGCAGGGGGCGGGTGGTGGGCAGTGCCCCCTGCGGGGGTCCAGGCTGAGTTGCTGGTGGCTGGGTGTTGTGATGAGCACAGTGGGCTTTTCTGTGAGAGCACTGGCAAGCGTGCGGGGTAGGGGCCGGCCCAGAGCCCCCCAGTGACAGGTTTGTGGCACACTGACAAGCAGCTGGATGGCACGGGCAGTTTCCCAGACAGGCTGACTCGCCAGTTCTTGGTTCTTAGTGTTGTGGGCTGGGTAGTGAGCTGGGGATGATGTCACAGCTCATGCAAGGACGATACAGGCCTGCAAAGCTGAATGTGGTCATGCTGGTGTGGCCCAGATCAGCTTGGGAGTGACAGGCACCTCCCACTGGAGCCTGTGGAGTGAGAGTTGGCCTGGGGGGCAGGAGGCAGTGCTGCAGGTGAGGACTGAAGGGTTAGTGTTCTCCCCGCGTGAGGGTCAAGTGTGGTTTCAGGACGCCTCGCACACCTTGTTTGAGCAGCCTCTGTTCCTTCCAGAAAAAGTCCCTCCCCACAGGCAGGATCCTGCGTGATGACGAATAGGCTGCTTTTCTGTCACAGTATTTGCTTAGTAAGATCAGGAGTCAGCCATGCAGTTGGTCATCTGAAGGTCCAGTGTCACAGGCCAGTGGCGCTTTCCTGGTGGGAGGTGAAGGGCAGTGTCTGTGTGAGGTGGACACGTGCCAGGGCTTGTTGGGGTGCGTGACACTTGGGCGCCAGGACTCCGCCATGACCTGATGTGTGGGAGAGCAGAGGTCCAGGAGTGCAGCTGGTCAAGAGGAACAAGAGTCTGCTCTTGCTGGCTTGACCTGACCCCGAGGCTCTGCGTGGGGGCAGGGGCTGGCCTGGAGCCAGGCCATAGGGTGGGGTCGTGTCCACAGCACTGTTCTCACCCAGGACCCCAAATGGGATTAATGCTTGATTGTGTGGCTGCAGCGATCTCAGTGTGTCCAGCACCAGGCCACCCAGGCTGTGTGGCCCGGCCAGTGCAGGGGGCCCGTGTGGAAGGTGAGGCTGATGGGGACAGAGGCCGTGACGTTAAATCTGAGGTCCTGGTGCAGGAGCAGCCTGAGGCCCGGGAGGAATCCCATGTCCCACGTTCTGTCCACATAAGGGCATAGGGACACTCAGAAATGCCACCTCCTTGCGCTGCCCTGCACTTGAGAACGAGAGCCACGCCCCCAGGAAAGCAAGCGTGCGAAGGCTGAGCTGGGGCGCCCTTGCCGGGAGGCAGCGGGACCAGGGTGCACTTCCCGGCCTGGGCACAGCCCCTGGGCCCCACAGTGTGGGTGCGCTGGGTGGGGTGGGCGCCAGGGGTGGTCTCTGCAGCATCCTACCCTAGAACTGCTGTGTGAGGCGTCTGTAATGAGGTAACACCTGGTTCTCGGGGAGATAGAGAGCAAGTTCCAAGGCCACGAGCACCGTGAACTCGAACCCGATTAGGTCCCGTCTGTTGAACCGAAACCTTTCTTCTAACTTCTGTATTGAGGAAGAGAGAAGGGTTCGGTGTGGCCCCTGCTCTGGTTCCCATCTGAGCAGGTGGGGAGTGGGCACGACCACCACCCCCAGGGGCAGTGCTCAGCCTTCAAATGCGAGCTGGGGACCTGACTCGCCCCCCCCCCCAGGGGGTGTGGCCAGCAGGGGGCATGCACACTCACATCGATGAGCTGCTTCACTTCGTTCTTGCGGAGGTCGCTGCTGATCTTGGCGGCCAGCAGCACGCATGCGCCCGCGCACAGCTTGCGGTTCTGCTTGTTGAGCTTGCCTTGCAGGACCAGCTTCTCAAAGTACACGTAGGCCATGGACACGGTCACGGGCTCCAGGCTGCACTCTTCAGAGAGGCTCCGCATCTCCCGTTTCAAACTGCGGGTTTACACGGGGTCGGGCAGTCTCAGGACAGCTGTGGTCCCGCCCTCTTCTCTAAGGGCCACTGCAGAGGACGGAGTCCCTGCTGTCCTGTGGCTGTGCAGGGAGGTACCACAAGGGCACAGCACCACAAGGCACTGAGGTATGGGAGTGCTGAAATGGCGCCCCGGGGGCTGCCGGGGTAGGTGTTAGGAAGAGCTGGCAGGGCGGGGTCCCAGCAGAGGGCAGTGGCCCGGAGCCCGGCCTCGGCTGACAGCTCCAGCATCTGCTTGCTGCAGGGCCTCGGCGCTGGTGGGGGGGGGGCTCAGTGGGCACGGGCAGGTGCAGGTGTGCGCTCACACGTGCATGCCCAGGTGTTACGGGCTGGGCGGATGTCGGGAGGGGCCCGAGTCTGCCAGGCTCAGGGATGGACAGGAAACGAGGAAGAGAGGCGGACAGGAGCCCCAGGCGGCACGCAGCAGAGTGAGTTTGGGGGTGTTCCTGGGTGGCCTCGGCCCCCTACCTCCTGATTTTGCTCAGCGTCAGTCTGACGTGTGGGAACTTCTCCCGGAAAGTCTCGTTCATGTCCTTCTTGAGGTCGGAGGGCTTCACATACTCAATCACTGTCGTCTGCAACACAGGGGGTGGGAGGCTGGGGCCTGGCCACTGCAAGGCCACTTCCCACTGGCCTGGCCAGCAAGTGTGGAGGCCCCGAGCCTTCGGAGTGGCCCCAGGTCTGTGAGAGTGACACCCCTCAGGACGGAGGGCAGCGGGCTGAGGGTGTGTGTGGGGACCCGGGTGGAGGGCGGAAGCGGGCTGAGAGCGAGGGCTGACCCCAGGGCAGTGCGGCCGGCGCTGCTCTCCGGCCCCGCGTGCCCCTCTGCAAGGTGCCACTGGTGCCCTGGGGCTGGGGGCGTGGCAGAGCAGGTGTGCGTCTGTGCTCACCATACCATGTAGGACGCGAAGATGAGGACCCGCTTGTGCTTCCCGCAGGGCCACTGCGGGTCGTCCAGCAGGTTGGGGTTGTACTCGAGGGCGTCCCCCGCGTCACTCCCTGCAGGCAGAAGGCAGCGCTGACCCAGTGCCCTGACCCTGGGGCAGGAGCCCCCGTGCCAGGTCCCATGGGGTTGGGGGGGGGGCTCCCAGTGTAGGAGGAAGGGAAGACGGCCCCCAGCCGTCTGTGGACACTGCTCCCACCGCCTGGCTGCGTGTCTGCTCTGCCCAGTGTCCGTTCTGTCTGTCCTGAAAAGCCACACCCTCTATCTCCACCAAGGGCTGTGGGTTCAAATGCGACTCTGCTCTGCTGCCACTGGGGGGCGCCTGAGCGCCGGCGAGGGTACCTAGCTCCGTGCCAGCGGGTGCTGGCTTGGCAGCGGCAGGTTTATATCTGGACGCTGGCAGCGCCCGGGGCACGCTGGGCCGGGGCTGCGGCGGTGGGCCGTGGCCGTCTGTCTTCTGCGCGACTAGGGCGTTGGTGGGGTACAGGAACTTGGCGTAAGACACGACCTGGAGAGGTGAGCACTTCAGCGGGGGTCCCGCCCCTCCCCCTCCCGGCTGCTGCCACCCCAAGGCCCGCCCCTGCTGTGACCCAGCTCAGGCCGGAGCTGGCGCTGCTCACCTGACCATCACCCTTCTCAGTGACAAGAACACTCTAGAATGCCACCCCCACCCGCCCGTGCCCTCTGAACCCCAGAGCCGAGGGGCCTGCTGTCGCAGGGTGGGCGGCTCACTCCCGCCGGCCCCTTGCATGGAGGAGATGAGAGGGAAGCACACGGCCACGTGCTCATTCTCCCCGGGACGTGAGCCCCGCGCCCGCCAGGCTGTGTGCACGCGGTGGGCTCTTGCCTTTCCATCTGCTCCCAGCTCCACACCTTCCAGCTCAAACACCATCTCGGAAGAGACAGACACGCCGCCAGATGGGTGCCTTTGCTTCTGGCTGTCCACCCTCAGGTCACTGCAACGCAGGGCACACGGGAGCTGTGGGCCTCCCCCTGCCCCTCTTTGGGGGGGGCAGAGCCTCCCTCTCCCCCAGGCTGCCCCCCAGGCGTGAGGGCAGGTGCCACAGCACTGGAGTTGGAGAGCAGCAGTGGCACTGCCATTGCTGGGACTCGGGCGAGGACACCTGTCGTCAGAGCTGCCTGGTGTGGCCCCTTTCCTAGACCAGGTGCTTCCTTTTAAAGCACTGGTGGCAGCCATGTGGCCCTGCAGCCTGAGCCACAGCCTCGCCCATGGCTGTGCTCCAGGGGTGTCCCCCATACCCTGCAGTCACACTGGGCAGGAGGTTTCTACACCAGGTCCCCGGTGCCATCCCCACTGGCGGCTGCCGCTTCTTCCTGGGTCACACACGGGACACAACTACCTGGCCAGGTCACAAGGACACACAGCAGTGTCCCAGCGGAGAGGAGCACCCCAGCACTGACCTTCAGGCAGCTCAAACAGGAGGTCACACCCCTTCCCAGGAACCAGGAGATGGGCAGGTCTGCCGCGAAGACCTGGAGGGGGCCCTACCAGAGCCCGGCTGAGCCCGGCCCCGGCCGCCCGGCCACTCACCTGACCCGAAGGCCGTCTCCATAGGGCAGGACGGAGAAGGCTGCGCACAGGGAGCGCTTGGCACAGATCAGCACGATCCTGCGGGGCGGGTGCCGTCAGAATGGAGCGGTGGGGGCTCCAGGGCGGGGTCCCCCCCACAAAGCCTTGGGGGATGGCAACCTCCCCAGGTGACCAGGACTCGCAGGCCAGGGCCTGTGGGTCTGGCCGCCCCAGCTCTCACTGGTCCCCACATGTAACACGCTGCACAGGGAGGGCCTTGCCTGGCCCCCCACGGCAGGGCCGAGGCTGGAAGCCAGCACTCTGGTTCCCGGGGTCGGGCACTGGCGGGCACACATGGCAAAGGTGTGTGCCCACAGGGCTGCTGGGTTCAGGGAGCCCCTCCTCAGCCATCCTGGGGAGCGGGGCCTAAGAGTGTCGGGAAGAGCCCCTGTGGCTGCCAGGGGCCCCTGCACGGGAGTGTGCAATGCAGGGAACAGCCCTTGCCCGTCTGGGAACGGCTCTGCTCGGCGAGGCCCTGGTCTGGCAGGGAGGATGACAGTCAGACTACCCTCATGTCTGGGGTGACTGCCCACTGAGTGCCCACTGAGGCTGGCCCACCTGTCAGACATCCCCCGGGCCCGCCCCTCAGCCGCTGGGCGGTCTAGGGCCGTCTGACCATGGCTATTGCTGGGAAGGGGGACAGCTGGCAGCCATCTGGCCCCCTGAGGGATGCCCTTCAGTGGCAAGGGGTGCACTGTGGGGCCCCTTTGGGTCAGGGTGGGGCACTCAGATGCCTCAGGGCTGGCAGGGCAGGGTGTCAGGAGCAGGCGAGAAGAGAGACCTTGCTCAGCGTCTGCGACCTGGGGTTTGGGGGCCCCACCTGCTGGCCCTGTCTTGGGGGACACTGCTGAGCTGGGGCTTTAGTTTGGCCTCTCCTCTGCGTGTGCGGATGAACCCAGCCCTCTGTCCTGCATGCGTCCGCCCGCACTGACACCCCTTCCTTCCGTGCCGGTGCTCATCTGCTGTCCCTGGGGTTCTGGGGACGGCCGGGCAGGGGGCTGCTATGGACCGGCACTGGGTTAACGTGGGAGGCAAGGGCGGGCGGCCCCAAGCGGCCATACCTGCTGTTCCTGGTGTCGTACTGCCGCATGTTCTTGATGAAGTGGGTCTTCTTCAGGCCCTTGTGTCTGGGGGAGCCGGGCATGTGCTTGGTTCTGCAGGAGAAACACAGGTCACCTGTCCCCCCCACACCCTCTCTGGCCCCCGGGGCAGGTGTGCAGGGCCGCAGAGGTCTTTACCTTGGAACTGAGGGACACCCCACTGTGTCGTCCAGGAACTCAAGGGAACAGCGCTGGGAGGCGACCCGCCTCCTGCAAAGAAGACACAGGAGGGCTCAGCACAGAGGCCCAGGCCATGCGGGGCTGGGGCTGCAGCAGCACCTGGCCAGGACGCCCGGCCAGGACAGGCGCTGGCGAGAGGAGCACAGCCCGGCCTCTGCGGGCAGGGGCACTTGCTGCCCACTCCAGGGGCAACAGGGGAGGTCTGCTGGGCAGATGCCCGTGTCCCTGGGTGGGTCGTGGAGAGCCACGAGGCCGGCCCTGCCCTGTGAGGATGCCCAGCTGGAGTGGCTGTCAGGACTCGTACCAGGAAAGGAAGCCGTCTGGTGGAGAGGGGACCGCCTCTGCGGGTGTCTGTGTCTGTGCCTGTCCTGCCCCTAGGGTGTGGCTCCCAGGCCCCAGGAGTGGCCCCAGGGGTGGCCTCGGGGGCTTTCTCAGCTCATTTCCTCAGGCAATTTCCCAGGTGGTGCCAATTGGCAAGTGCACCCCTGGGGCATCGAGTGTGAGCTGGGCCAGCGCAGTCCCCACAGAGATGGAGATGCTGGGCGGGTGCTGCCCTCCCGCCCCCGTAGTGTGGCCCTACAGCTGAGCAGCACCTGCAGGCCCCAGCCCACAGGGCCGGGTGCGCCCGCTGGACAGGGATGGAGCCTCTGTGGGCCCCCGAGGAAAAGCTGCTCCGTGCGGGCGTGGCAGACTTCTGCCTGGGACTCTCCTCTGCCTTCCTGTCCTCGTGAATGTTCTGTGGACATACTTGATCCTCACAACAGCTCCACCGGGGAAGCCGTATTCCCACCCTCTGTTCATAGACAGGCAGGGAGACACAGAGCTGGGGAGGGGAGCTGGGACCCCACGCCCCTGCACGCGGCTCTGCGGCCCAGATTCCCGCCTGCCGCCCTTGCACTGCTGGGGCCAGGGCTCCTTCCGGAGGTGGCGCACTTACAGCCTGGCAGAGACGTCGCTCCCAGCGATGCTGCCGTGGTGTTGGGGAGACTGCCCTCCCCTTGTCACTGAGGACATGCCCTGCCCAGCAGGGCTCCTGACACCCACGGCGAGTGAGGGGCCAGGGAAGGTGCTGCTGGACCTGGAGTCAGACCACCTGAGGTCGGTGGCCCCACTGAAGCGACTGCTCTTCCACATCAGGCGCCCTTGAGATGCCAATGACTTTGAACCCTCCCTGGAGCCCCTGGAGGGTGAGCAGCCCCACCCACACCCCAACTGGACTTGTGACCTTGTAAACCCCTGCAGGCTGCCCCACACAGGGCTCTGTCCACAGCCCACTCCCAGGAGAGATGAGGGGGAGGAGGAGACAGAAGCACCGTGACATGGCATTGGGCGGGCCAGGGGGCTCCTGAGAGGCTGGTCTGACCCGGTCGGCAGCCCAGACACCGGTGTGCTCGTGTGTGTGTGTGTGTGTGTTGAGTGCTGAATTGAAAATGAACATGGCCTTAGCAGTCCTCGGAGTGAAATGAGGGTTTCAAAGGCTCCCCACCATGGCTGAGCCCTACACAGTCTGATTGTGACCAGAGTCTCCCATCACCTGGCTGCAGCCATCCCCACTAAGCCCTGGACGTTCACCTGGCCTCACAATAGCCCCCAAGCAGGCAGTGCTTAACACAAGTCCACCCCACAGAGGAGAAAACAGGCTCAGAGAAGCCGTGCCACCCGCTGGAGGTCCCAGAGCCACTGGGTGGTGGGGCTGGGGTTCCTCTCACGGATATTCCCAGAGCCTGGGCCCCAGCACGACTCCATGACACGGACTCTGGGGAAGAACCTCAGAATCCTCTCCATTCCTAAAACACAACAACGGATCCTTGAAGTCTAAAGCCAGGAGCCGGCAGCCACCTCTTTGAGGCTGGCTGTCCCTCACACCGCAGCGACTCTCTGCCTAGGCCTGGGCAGCAGAGAGAAACAGGCGCTGTTTCGCCCTGTTGTCGGTTGGGGCTGGGGTGGAGATCCCCAGACACAAGGGCGGGGCCCCTGAAGGGCAGGTGCAGCCCTGAGGGCAGGAAGGGCACCTAGACAGGGACTTGAAGGCAGGAGGGAAAGGCAGGGGGTGCAGGGACGCAGGGTGTTGTGGCTGCAGGGGGAAGGGCCCTCTGGGGCACCTGACTCTGACCCCGCCCCGCCCCGTCTCAGTTCCCCTGAGCTGGGGCCTGCCACAAGCCCTCTTCAGAATCCAGCAGTGGCACTCAAGGCTCCAGGCACTCCCCGCAGCCCCCCTTCCGGAGCCCTCCCACCAGTGTACCTCTAGGGGCCAGCGGCTGTCTTGTCCACAGGGTCTGGCCCACAGACCCCTAAATGACGCCTGGCCTGCCCAGGACTCACACCTCGCAAGCTGCAACTGCGAATGCTGTGGATGTGGCCCACCCAACCAGAAGACCCCAGGAAACCCGAGGGTCAGGGCTGGAGGTGACCATGCCAGTGCCACCCAGGTGACTCCACGTCAGAGGCCACCTCGGACTCCAGGGCCTCAGAGCCTGCCCACTGCCCGGCAGCTCTGTGCTGTGGACTGAAGGCCAGGCAGGAGCCCTGGAGAAGGGGCCGTGGGCGAGGCTTACCCTAGGGCCCCCCAGGCCCCGCAGGGTCTGGAGGCAGGGGCACAGACTGCAGGGGCTGAGCTCAGGTGGGGGCTGCTCCGGGATGGCCGCGGGGTCCCTGGAGATGGAATCAGGGCCCACGAGTAACTGAGGCTGGGATGTGCCAGGGTCGGAAACACAGAGCTCAGAGGGGACTGTGGGGACGGGGGCAGCACAGAAGTGACGGGTGACCAGTGCCAGGGCAGCCTTGGTACAGGGGGGTGATGGTCTGCAGGAGACTCTGAGGCCAGTTGTCCTCCCCGTGCAGAGAGCCCCTGGTCCAAGGGGGGGTCGCTCAGAGCAGAGAGTGCAGGGGACACAGAGAGGCACCTGGGAGCCTGTGTCCTCCGTCCAGGCACTGGGAGAGGTGGGCTGGGAGGGGTGTCCCAGAACTGCCCCTGGGTCTGGGGGCTGACAGTGCAGAGCAAACCCACATTCAGGGCACTGGCAAGGTTGAGTGGACCGTGACCTCATGGTCTGCCGCGGGCAGGATTAAGGGCCATGACCCCAGTGCCTGGGGACTGATAGGGTACGAGGAAATCCCAACACCATGTCCAGGGGTTGGCTGAGCCCCCGAAGGCCCGGCCCTGATATCCCAATCCTGTGCCTGGGGCTCACAGAAGGTCAGGGTCACCTCTTGCACCCCAACCTGGCATCATGGGCGGGGGACCCCGGATGACCCCGCTCCCCAAATCCTGTGTAGGGGGCCTCAGGCCTCACCCCGGACTGTCGGCCCCAAGACACCGGGTCCCGCGACCCCGGCCGTCTCACTCACCTGTGGCGCTGCGGGTCCAGGCCAAGGCCGGCGGGCGCGGGGCTGAGCAGGCCCTGGGACGCCGAGGCCCTGCTCCCGGTTCCGGGAGGGCCGGGCGGGGCGGGGGGCGCGGTCTCGGGCCCCAGGGGCGGCGGCGGCGCCGGCGGCTCGCGGGCCTCGACGGGCGGCGGCGGCGGTGGCGGTGGCTTCTCGCCGACCGGGCCCAGGTTTGGGGGCCGCCCGTCCAGGGAGATGTTGTTGAGGAAGAAGAGCGCGGCCTGTCGGCGCCGCGAGTCCCCGCGTCTCCGCAGCGCCTGCGGCGGGGCCCTGGCTGCATGACCTGGGCCGGAGCCGGGGCCGGGGCCGGGGCCGGGGGACGGGCCCGGGGCTCCACCCGCCGCCGCCGCGGCCATCCTCTAACTGAGCCCGCGGGCGGCCCGCCGCCACCCGCGCGCAAGCGCCTGAGATAGCCGCTCATTGGTCGGGGCGCGCCCTCATGCAAATATACCTCGGTCGCGCTCGGCAATTGGTCATTATGGAGCCGTGGGCGGGCCGCTGAGCTCGGGGGCGGCTCCCCTGGGTCACGGAGGTGCTGTGCCTGCGCCCGAGGGCCGGCGCCTGTCCTCTGCTCGCCCGCGTTTCTGCCGGGCCTGGCCGGGAGCCAAGCGACGACGGGCCCACGGTTCGAGTCCCCGCCTCGGAAGCCGGGCTCTTGCTGGGCAGCGGCCTTCAGGATCTGTCTGCGTCGAGACTGCGTCTTTAGGCCCCAGCGCACTTCCCCTCCGGGTGTGTGCTGGGCAGAGCCCGTAGCTCGCACGGCACCTGCCGTGTGCGGGGCCCTTCTGTGTGCAAACTACCACCTTTGCCGACGATCCCCAGGCTCCCGGAATGGCTGTGCGGCACCGCGGCGGTGCCACCGGGCTCCCTCCTTAACTGAAGAAGAGACGGCGGGTCTGGAGAGGAGGGTCTGGGAGGGCTGGCGGGGCGGGGCGCAGCAAAGTGCGCTGAGCCTCAGTTTCTCCTGCACCCGCGCCCCTCTGACGCCAGAGCGGTGGCTTCAGGCTCAGGTGCTGCCTCCGGGTGGGGACAGCCATTTCGACCCCAGGTGCAGTCGGGACGGCGCTGGCTCGGCAGGGGCGTTGCCAGCGCGGTCCGCCCAGGGCCGGAAGCCGGCGTTCGCCGCGGTTCTGCGGCTCCGCACGCGCTGCCCCCGCGCCCCACGGCCGTGGTCTGCGGGCACCAGAAAAATGCGCGGCGCGCCTCTGGTCGCGAGGAGAACGAAAGGCCATCGCCATCACCGTCGTCAGTCAGGGCCCGGCTGCACGGCCCCCTCCTTTCGGGCCCCTTACCCTGCTCTCGCCTGGGCAGGTCTCCTCCTGGTGACCTTCATTGGCTAGTACGGCGACGCCCGCTCAGTGCCCAGTCTGTCCTCTGGCCTTGCGCGCCGCCCTTCCAAATTGCCCACAAGCCTTCACCACCCAGGCCTGCAAATCGGATGTTCTCTTTTATTTGATTTTGGGAAAATCAATGCCACCTTCAGCAGCTGGGAGATTTCAGGCACACGCGGGCCTCCCCTCCCCCTCCCCCTCAGCCTACTCTCTTGGGAATTTAGTCTCTGTGGCCACTCGGAGCACGGTGGGGGGCAGTGCCCCGGTTAGTCTGCCTGCTGCCGCAGTTTGCCCCATGTCCCGCCTCTGTCCTGGACTGGGGGGTGCAGAACGTCCTGGGGGCTGAGGGTGGAGCCCTGGATGGGCTGCCCTTGCGGCCTCAGCGGCAGATGTGGGACCAGGGACTGGGGATGGTCTAAGAGGAGGGGTCGTGTGGGGGCCGCTGCCCACTGTCAGTGCTCTTCCGGCCGTCCCCAGGGGGCACCCTGCCCCTGTAAATGCCCTGCTGATTTTGATCCTGCCCTCCTGTGAGGGAGTGACCTCCCTGGCCCTGTACACATTCATTCAAGAGTCACCTGGGCCAGCTGCCCCCTACCTCGCTAGCCACACTTACCACCTTCTTTGTGCCTTCATTTTCCCAGCGTCTCTGGGGACCCTCTCAGTGGAGGCACCTCCCCCTGCCCGTCCCCGGTCTCCCTAAACTCCCAGAGTCTGTTTGCGGGATTCCACCACCAGGGGACGCCCAAGACTGCGGCTTGCAACTCCGTGGCCGAAGAGGAAGGGAAGCCGGGAGGGAGCCTGGGGCCGGTAGTGTCTGGGATGGTCAGAGGGGACTGGGTGAGGTGGCGCTGCCCGGTAAGGGCTGTCTGTGCGCTGCGGTGGTGGGGCTGGGCTGGGGCCTGAGCATTCCCAACGCTTGCATCTTTGAGCCCCTGCTCTGGAGCAGGTGCTGGGGAGAGGGTGGGGTGGCAGTTCCGGTGGCCATTCTTGGAGGAGTGTGATGGAGAGGTTCAAAAGAGCACCTAAAGGCTCCCTCTTGACCTTCCCAGCCACTGTGCCCACTGTGAGGGCCCAGCCCCCTTCCCCCTGGGCCGAGCTGTGCTGGCAGTGTGAGCTGTCATGGCCGCAGGCAGTCAGGTGGGTGGGCCGTGGTGCCCAGGGCCAAAGCGCCATCGGTCTCCCTCAGCCGCTGCTGCTGGACGAGGGCTCCCCGTCCTCAGGATCTTGGGTTCCCGGGTCGCCGTTCGCCGTCAGGGACATCCCTGGAATGTCTTCTCCCTCACGACAGCTTCTTGGAGGCTGAGAGAAGTAGACTGAGGTTAGGCTTGGATGCCCAGCCGTGGCCTCGCCTGCCCTCCCTTGAAATGACACTGGCCTCTCCCTGGGCCTTGAGGGAAGTCTCTGGACATGGGCACCAGAGAGCCCACCCTGCCAGGGGTGACTTGTCATGACAGCAATGGACACTGGAGCCAGGGGGTCTTGACCGGACAATGAGCCCTGCCAGGGGGCAGGCACCAGCCCTGGGACCCTGCGGGGGCTTGGCCCCCAAACACATCTCATGCTGAACAGGAGTCAGACCTGCGTCAAAATCTGTTGGAGTTCTGACTCCCTGCACCTGCTTTGTGACCTTGGGCAAGTTGCTGCACCTCTCTGTGCCTCAGTTTCCCCACCTATGAGACAGGGCCCCACTGTCCAGGCCCTGGGGCGGTGTCACTGGACACCACTGGCACCTTGCTGTGGCCCGTGCTGCCTCTGTGCCGAGCCACTCGGCGCCCTGCCTGTCACGTAGTGGAACCGGCCACAAGCTGGGCCGGGGCCCTGTTCTCACCGACCGCCAGTGTGGGTGCTGGGGGGCACCCGTGCCTATGGGGGAGCCCCTCTGCTGGCTGTGGGGGGAGCGCGGGGAGGCTCAGAGTGTAGGGTGGGGGAGGGACCTGCGTGCACCTGCGGACCGCGCCCACCAGGACAGTTTCCAAATAGTGCCCGGGAGGAAGTGCCTGGAAATGAGACAGGTGCACCGGCCCTGCCCATGGCTCACCCGGCAAACACAGCCCTCAGTCACCTGCACAGCAACAACAGAGCCTTGTGGTGGCCAGGGCCCAGCTGGCCTCGGAGCAGACTGCCTGCACAGCCAGGCAGCGTCCATTTTTAGCCCAGGCCTGCATAGGCTCTCGGGCTCCTGGAGGCCTGGCCAGAGCTGCCTCTGTGGCCGGGGCCGGAAGTGGGGGTGGTCCTGATGTCCGCAGGCCTGGCTCCTGCTTCCACTGCCCTGTGGGCAGAGCTGGGCCCATAGGGGCCGCCCTCGGCAAACATTCGAGCACCCCCCATGTCCCTAGCGGGAACAAGCACACCCTGCGCCCTAGGTTCTTCGAAGGTGGCCCCAACCCTGCAGGGTGGAGGGACAGGCCCGGCTGGCAGTGAGGGGGAAGTGGGTCCGGAATCACCCCAGCCCCACCAGGTCCCTGCTGTTAAGGGAGAGAGCCTGCTCTGGGGGGCTCTGAGGGCTGGTTTCTGGGCTCCCCTCAGTTTGAGAAGGCCGTTCCCCAAGTGCCCAGAAAGGTGGGGTGGAGGTGTTGGGGCTGCGGTGGCAGCCACCCTCTCTGACCCCTCACCTGCCCTTGGCCTCTTACCTCTGTCCCGCTGGTCGGAGGACGGGGTCTGCTTCCTCCTCGGGGGGCGGCCCTGCCGGGGCTCCGTGGTGCAGAGGCACCTGGGTGCCTTCCCCAGTGTGCTTGGCGGGGGCTCCTTGGGGCTCAGGCCCCCCTGGTGGGGCAGCGTGTGGTCAGGGCCTGGGTTCTCCCCTGTGCCTGGGGGAGGGGGAGCCCACGCGAGCCCAGGACCCACCTCATCGTCCGAGGCATCAGGTGCGTCCAGCTCGTCCGATACCCGTGGCTGCACCTCGGGCTTGCTGAGCTCTGCAGAGTGCAAGGTGGGGGTCAGGCCAGGGGCCGCCTGGGGCCCAGCGGCAGCAGGGCTCTCTCCGGCTGGCCAGCCTGGGAGGAGTGAGTGGCAACCACTGTGCAGGTGAGGAAACTGAGGCACAGAGGGCGGAGCACCCTGCACCAGCGCTGGCCCCAGGCCCCGTGGCTGTAGTGCCTGTACCGTGACCCCACCAGCGGGGGCGTCCCCTGGCCTGGCTGCTGTGCAGTGGGGCACCCACCTCCTGCCCCCAGACCCTAGCTGCTGGGACGCCCTTCCCTTCACGGCCTGTGGTCAGAGGTGTGCCTGCCCTGACCCCTAACTCCTTTCCAGCTCTGCCCGGGGGGACCCAGGGTTTGGCCTGCCAGGCTTGGGGGGCTGAGCTGGGCCCCAGGATACCCCTCCCTCCCGCTGACTTTGACTGCCGTGTCTGCCCCCCTCCCAGGGCCGCACTGCTGGGCCCTCGTGGGTGCAGCCTTACCCGGGGGGCCCTCGGCGTCAGGCCTCTGTGGGTGCGGGGGTGGTTTTGGCCTCTCTCTGGACTCATCTCCAGGCCTGCCCGGAGACTGCAGGCTGGGCTGGGGTCCTGGGAGAGGCTGTGGGTAGTCCTGTGGGGAGCGAGGCAATGGTTTGGGCCCCTTTGCGTTCATCTGGGCACGGGCTGTGGGCCCTGGCCTAGGTACAGCCGGCGGCTCAGCCAGGCAGCCAGGCAGCAGGAATGGCTGCCGGCCTGGGAGGGGGCCCCTGCAGGTAAGAACAGGGCGGGGACTCACCTCGGGGGTGCGGGGCTCTTCCGGCTCTGGTGCTCTGGTCCCCTTGGTGCCATTGCTGCGTCCCCAAGGTCCAGACTGGGCAGGTGGCTCCGCTCCCTGGGGTGGCTCAGGACTGGGGGTGTGCGCAGTTTGGGGGCTGAGTGACCCTGGCCGGCCCGTGGACTCGGGGGCCTCCCGGCCCCGGCCCCACTCTGAGAGGTCCAGGGGCTTGTCTGGAACGTGGTCCCGTGTGGTCCGGGCCTCCTTTGCCCTGGGGCTGTCGGAGCCTGTGGGCCGTGGGCGCCGCTTCCCGGGCAGGGCTGCCCTGGCCACCTCGCCCTCTGGCCCCTCGGAGTCAGAGCCAATGGCAGGGGAGGGCGGGGTCTCTCCTGGCCTGTGGGGGCCCTTCAGCCTGGCACCGTCAGCCTGTCCCCGCGCCCGCAGCTGCTGGGCCAGGAGCAGGCTCAGGGCCCCCTCCAGCCTCGGGCCCCGCGTGTCTGCCAGGGGGCCCGGCAGGCCCAGCAGGCCCAGGGGCTCCTCCCAGGCCTCCAGCTCTCCGGCCTTCAGGCCCTGGGCCGGGGGGCCCCCGGGGCTGTCGTGGCAGCTCCGAAGGTGCAGGGACAGGCGGTGGCTCAGGAGACCGAGGTGGTCAGCCTGGAGGGATTGCTTCAGGGACGCGTAGGTCACGGCAGAGGGCCGGGGGCCCCGCGGGAAGCTGGAGGGTAGGGAGGGAGAAGCCCGGTGACAGGGGCCACGGTCAACCTCCACGTCACAGAGGAAGGCCTGGGGCCCAGGGAGGTGAGGAGAGCCGCCCAGGTCACAGGGTGGGCAGGGGAGAGGGTGGGTTCCGGCCCCCTCTCCCCCGCAACCATCCCCACTGTGGAGGCCAGGCCGTGGGACCGCCTGGCCAGTGGCGGCTGGAGCCTGGGGCCGAGGCCTTTCCTCCTGGGCGTCAGCTCCCTGCTCACCTGGCCCAGCCCCACCTCCTCCCCGCAGGCCCCCTGCCCCACCCTGACTGTTCAGGAGGTGTCCCCGTGGGAACTTTGCGGTGGGTGGCAGACTGGGAAAGTGGAGGTTCGGAAAGGCAGAGCCTCTCCTGGGCCATGGCCCCCTCCCCAGTTTGGACCAGACTGAAGACGGGCACTCGGCCGAGGCCGTCCCTGGCGTAGCTACGGGCAGGACCACACCTGTCCAAGGGGAGGCCGAGCTCGTAAGGCGGGCTGTGTGGCCCACTGAGGGCGGGGGGCGTCCCGCTGGTGGAGCCCCGGTCGGTGGAGCAGGCCCGGGCGCCCGGCCGCACGACGGCGATGGTCCCGTGCAGCTGGTTGGAGATCCGCTGGGGGCTCTGCACAGGTGGGGGTGGCGTGGGGGGTGCAGTCAGCTGGGGGGCCAGGCTGTGGCCTCTGCCCCGGCTCTCTGTGTGACCTCGGGCAGGGCACCCGCTGCCTTCCTCTTTGCCTCCACCCGAGTCAAATGGAGCCGGGTGGTCCCAGTGTGGCAGAGAAGGATGGGCACCCGACAAATGGGGCTGGGGTTCCTGGCGCTCACCATGTCTGGGGCCCTCGGCTCCGCAGGGTTGGCACTCGGGGACATTTTGGCCCCTGGAGACATCCTGTACGCCAGCTTCTCTGTGGGAGGAAAAGTGGGGGCCAAGGGGATGGTGGTTAGGTGTCCCCAACCCTGCTGGCTCTGCCCTCTGCTCCCAGGGCCTCTTGGGCCTGTGCTGCCCCCCCCTCCCGCCCCGCCTGTGGACACACACCTGGGGGGTGGTCCTCAGCCTCCTCTCCCGGCAACTTCTCTTCGGTGGCCTTCCGGGCACCCGGGGAGGTGTGCTGCGGGGGCGAGGTGGTGTCTGGGGTGCCCTCCCCGCACAGGGGCTCAGGCCTGCGTTCGAGGGGAAGGAGAGGGCAGTGCCCGCAGAGACAATCAGAAAGGCTCTGGTGCCCTCCTGGGGCCTCCACCACCACGTGGGGGGGCCGGGTGACCCAGAAAAAGCTCTCTTGACACTGCCGGAGACCCCCCTCCAGGGCTCCCGCTGCAAGCTGGGCTGCCCTGCCTGCCTCAGACCCAGCACCCCCGGGGGGGGGGGCCCAGGGTCCCAGCTGGGGCTGGGGACCCGGCCTGTTCCTGGGGGGTCCACTGGGATCCTGGCCGGTCACGGGCCCCCTGTGCATGTCACTCCGAGGTCAGGGGTTGGCCCCGTGGTGAATGGCCCGGGGGACCCCCACCCCAGTGCTGGGCCGGTCCCCCCCACTGTCCTGTGCCCCATGCCCCCCCCGGTGCCCCAGGGATGCGCACTGGGTGCCCGCAGTGAGTGGGGTACGAGGGGTTGGGTGCTCAGGCCTCTGGTGCCTTCGCAACTCACCCCGAGCCCCGAAGCCGGGTCACCTCTTCCTTCAGGGTCTCGTTCTCGTCCTGCAGCCGGTGCATCTCGTTGGCTGCAAAGGACACAGGTCAGCCAGGGCCTGGGGGCGGGCCGCTGGTGGCTGAGAGGTCGGCGCCAGCCTCAGGGCTTTGGGACCCTCCTCCCAGGATCTTGTCCCCCCAGGAAGAGGGGGGACAGGCATTGAGGGCCCGGACGCCCCAGTCCAGGGGACAGATGTGTGAGGGACAAGCCGGGGCCAGCTGGGGAGCTTGAATAGCTGGTCTGCGCCTGGGGTGTCACCTCCCCCACAGAAGGACAGCCTCCTCCCCTTCCCCGGTGACCCCATGCGGGGGGGGGGCCGCCCAGGGAAGGACGCGGCTCACTGAGGAGGCAGATGTGCTGCAGGTGCCGGAGGAGCGCATTCTCGAACTCCTGCTGCCTCTTCCGAGCCAGCTCCTGGGTGACGGTGCAGCGGTCACACAGGCCGGCCCGCAGCCTGCGGGACAGGGGAGGCAGGGCGCTCTGAGGAGGCGGCGGAGGCACCCTGTTGTCCCCAAACTGGGGCGGTGGGCTCCCCGCCCCGCCCCCTGCCTGGCGGGTTTAGGAAGGAGCTGGGATCCTGCAGTTGGCTTACGGCTGTGGGGGCCGGGGGGGCCGTCTGCTTCAGTTTACTGACCCCCGGAGCTCCCCAGACCCCTTCTCCACCGACCCCTTGCCGTCTTCCCCTCCCCCGACCGCCGCCCCCGTCTGCAGCGGGCCCACCTGTTCTCCAGCACCCGCACGTTGTCCTTCAGAGCCCTCTGCTGCTCCCGCAGGTGGTGGTTCTTGGCACAGAGCTCCTCCGCCCTCTGGGCGTCCCTGTGGGGGGTGAACCGAGGCGCCTGCTGCTCTGCCCGGGGGGGCCCACGCTGCCCCCCCACCCCGCTGGCCTCTCCCAGGGTCCCTGGGCCGGGACCTGCTGGGCGTGTCTGCTGCGGGGTGTTCCCCGTGCGAGGGGACCTGGTGCGGGCCACGCTCAGCCCAGCAGGCCTCACGCCAGCACCTCAGGCCATAGGGGTGGCTTCGGCTCAGTCCCGAACGACGGAATGGAGCCCCGCTGGGGACACGGGGAGGCCCCTCGGGTCTCAGTGTCTCATGACTTTTGTCCCTGTTGATAATTGCTGGTATCTCAGGCGCCCTGAGTGGACATGGGCTTGCTTAGCCCCATGAGGGTCCCTGGGCACGTGGTGGCCTTGGAGTTTGCAGTCCCGGAGCACCGGCTCCTGGGGGCATGATGTGGACCCGAGACTCCCCCCCGCCCCCCCCATGCTGAGCCTGTTTCCCCTTGTACGTGGGCCGGGAGGTGGAACCCTGGTGTTGGGGTGGGGTGGTGAAGGGAGAGACTGGCCAGCCGCTGTCCCTCATGTCCGTTCCTGCGGGGCCGTCCTGACTCACCGGCATCGCTCCGAGTTCAGTTCTACAAGCTTGTTCTGCAGGCCTGGAGGATCGAGGGAGGACCAGGGGTCAGGCCTAGCTGTGTGGCCGGTCAGGCCCCGCAGCACAGCCCCCGAAACCTCCTGTCCCTCTCCACACCCCCCCCAGGTCTGCCCCTGCCTGTCCAAGGCCCCCCAGGTGGTGGGCGCCCGGTCCCAGGACTGCTTGGAACCCGGCCTGGGCCCAGCATCTCCGGTCCTTCTCCCTGCCAGGGACTGTGGCTCTGGCATCCGTCTGGAGATTGGCCACGACCTGGAAGCTGGGAGCAGCCCACCACTGGGCCAGGTCCTGGGAGGGGTGCTTTTTGTGGGTGCAGCCAGTGCTGAAATAAAACGGGGCCCTAGGGGAGGCCCCGGCAGACCCCTCCTTGCCGCCTTGATATGCTCTAGCCTGGGCTTGTTGCCCAAGCTGGCCCCACCTCCTTATGTCTCTGGGGAGGTCACCTGGGCCCTCAGGTGGGTCACCTGGGCCCTGGGTCCCTAGGCCCTCAGGTGCGTGTGGGGGTGCTGGTGGGATGGTGGGTCTCAGGAGGGCCTGGCCGGGCCCTGAGCTTCGGGGGGTGGGGTGCAGGGTCAGGCGTGTGGGTCTGGCCTGGTGCAGGACGGGGTCAGAGCTCAGCCTGCGTGTCCCAGAGGGAAACAGTGGCTTTTACGCCGGCGCCCCGGAGCCCTCCTGGTCGGGCTTCCGGACCCGTGAGCGCCCTCCCAGGAGCGGGCGGCCTCCCTCCTGGGGGTGCTGGGACCCCTGTGCTGCACAGGGGAGGTCATCAGCTCTTTGCGGTCAGGCTGGGCTGACCCTCTGGGAGACCACCTGCAGGGCCATCCTTGGGGCTTTGGTGTGAGGCTGGGCAGCCGGACACATGGACACTTGGGGCTCTGGGTCGTCCCGCCTGGGCTCTGGGCCTGGGAGGCGAGGGCTGGGGTTTGGAGGAGCCGTGTGGGAGCCCCCTGGCCTGGCTTGGACCGGGCCTCTGTCCGGGTGGAGTCGCCTGTGGGGCGCCCACCCCGCCCGCCCGCCCCTGCACACTCACCCAGGACCTCTTGCTCGTGGACGGCCTTCAGCCTGTTGAGAGCCTCCGTGAAGCCGTCCATGGCCGACGTGCTGGGGTTCGGATGGCCTCTCGGCCCTACTGCTGCTCTGTCCCCAGCCTGTGGGGCGGGAGGGGGGAGGGGGCACGTTGGCGTGGGAAGGGTCACGCCCACACGGAGGACCGGTGGCCTCGTCCACGCTGTCCTGCTCTCAGGGCGGGCCCTGTGGGGAGCTTGGAGACACGGGGCCTGTCTACTCAGTCCCCCTCCCTCACCTTGGCCTCATGGAAAAGCCACGCAGCCTGCCCTCCGGGGCCTACCCTGGTCCTTCTGGGTCTGGCTTCCAGGCTGAGAAGCCCTGGCCGGCCGTCGGACCCCGCAAACAGGCCAGCTGCCCCTGACACTCTGAGCTACCATCGGCCAGACCGCCCTCTGCCATGCCCAGCAGGTCCGAGCCACCACGGGACTGTGACCCAGGACTGGGCCCCTGTGTCTGGCTCCCTCTGTTCTCTCCCCAAGACACACTCCACACTAAGCCTCTGCTCCATCCCCCATCGGCCCGTCGCTGGACACCATGGCCGCTGCAGGGGCCTTGAAGATGTGCGGGAGCTCCCAGAAGAAGCTCCCCACAGTCCCAAACTGGAACCCCCAATGCCAGGCTGGACAGAGCAATGGCTGACCCCCAGCCGGAAGCCAGCCCGCTGCACACCAGGTGCAGGAGGCACAGCTGCCCCTGGAAGTAGGGGCGGCCCCTCTGCCTGGGGAGCAGGCCTTTCAACCCCAAGAGAAGCCCAGGGCAGCGACCACGGGGCCAGGGCTGCCCTCCAGGGAGCAGACTGGCTCCCGGCTGGGCCCTGGCGCCCGCGTGTAGCAGCAGAGCACCAGGAAGCCTGGACTTCTGGACTCGAGACTGGGCCCAGCTGGAGGACAGGGTGAGACCCTGTGCCCTGCGGTGACCACGGAGCCGCCCTGGCAGGGTGCTGGGGTGTGGTGGGGAGTGGAGGGACAAGAAGATGGGGCTCCCAAACTGGTTTGTCAGACCCGCCTGGGCTGCGGGCCACCCCAGCACCGGTGGGGAAGTGGGGTGCCCGCATGGCGGCTCTGTGGGTGGCAAGGCTCTGGCCACGCTGGAGGGAAGGTGCTGGGTCCAGAGGCTGCTAGGGCAGGTGGGAGCCAGGGCTGGAACCTTCTCTGAGGGCTGTGAGGGGTGCACCCGTGCCCCAAGGGGACCCCGGCTGTGTCCCGGTGGCTCTGCTGTGCTCACCCTGCGGACTCTATCTCCTGGTGGGGCCCCTGGAGGGGAACCCTTCGAACTGGGGCCTCCCTGGGCTCAGGTTCCTGGCAGGCAGGCCGGGACGGCCTGGGAAAGGCTGAGCCGCAGCGCCGGAAATTCTGCACAGACCCGCCCGGCAGGAGGCCCTTCCCTCCAGCGCCATCGGTGGCCCGTGGGCGGGGCCACCTCCCATAAAGGATGAGCCTGAGGGAGCCTGCAGTGCCGTGGGCCCAGGAGAGGCCTGTGTGGGCTCTGGCTCCCAGTGAGGGACAAGCATTGTCCCCAACGGTGTCCCCACGGAGCCCTCTGTGGGCCCCACTCACTTCCCGCCTGGCTTCTCCTTGTGCCCCAGGCCTCCAGGCTGCTCCTCTCAAGGTCCATGGTAGACCACAGGGGACACCCGCCTGTGTGCTGGGCAGGGGAACAGCATGAACAAGTGTCCTGGGGCAGGGCTGTGCAGATGACTGGGGACCCTCATTTCCTAGGGAGGCCCAGGGCCATGGGCGCAGGGCGTTGTTCTGAGGAGGGCAGGTGACCAAAATAGATTTGGCTGAGGCCAAGTGGACAGTGTCCCAGGTGGATGCTGTCCGTCCACCCTCCTGGAGTGTGGGCAGGGTGGGAGGTGGCAGGAGTTGGAGACGGCCCCACTGCTTTGGGGAGGAGGGCGGCGGCTGTGGGCAGAGTGACCCTGGGTTGTAGCCTCCTGCTGGGAGGTCAGCCGGCTCTGTGTTTGCCAGGACTGCCCCGAGCAGTTCCCTGGGTTCAGGGAACTCGGAGGGTGAGTTCCCCCCAAGGCCTCGGGGCCCTATACCTGCGAGGGTGGCCTGAGTTGCCCCCCGGGGTGCGGTGGGAAGCCAAGGCCTAAGTTCCACCCCCCAGGTCCCCAGACCACCTCTGGGCTGGGAGGCCCCCGCTGGGGCTGAGCCCCGGGAAGGAGCGGGTGGAGGGAGGGGCGGGGGGCGGCCGTGCAGACGCCCCTCACCCTGAGCAGAGCCAGACGGTGCCGAGCACCAAGGCCAGGGGGTGTGAGCCACAAGCCTGCAGCCCCACCACGGACCCCTGCCCCGCCTCTGCCCCTGCGCGGGCTCCAGCGCGTGCTTTTACCTCGCAGAGCCTAGGTTTCCTCATCTGGGGGTAACGCTACCCCCATCAGGGCGCCGTGAGGCTGCTTCCCCGTGACATGTGTCCAGGGGACACCTCCCTGGTGACTCGATCTCAGCCTTGTGCTTAGCAGGCCGAGCACTCGGTTTACTGCGGTGGAAACCCTGCGTCCCCCACGAGCGCCTCCCTCCCTGGAGACCCCCAGGGGCCAGCAGTTCTGTCTCCAGGGCCCCCTCCCTTCGGCTCAGGTCCCAGTGCCACCCGGGCCCTTGGTGGGAGGACAGGTCCCTGTGGGCCTGCTCCAGGCCAGGCCCGCCCCCAGAGCCGCCGCGCTCTCCTCCCGAGTTCCCAGAGCATCCACTGTGTGTCCGGCTGTCTGAGGAGGGCTCCTCCGCCCCGTCACGGACGCAGCCCCGAGGCTCCCAGCCTGTGCCAGGCTCCAAGGTCCCCATCGGCCCTTTAGGCTGCTCTGTGGCTGTGGGCCATCGCTCATCGGGCCCAGTCCCGGTGTCCCTGCCACCAGGCAGACAGGTGGGGAGCCCTGCCCCACGTTCCTGTCCACCTCGGGGTGTTGGGGCTCCTCAGACAGGGGCAGTGTTCCAGTGGCCACGTGACCGACAGGCGGTCAGCGGCCAGCCTGGGCCCCCCACGCGCCAGGAGCCTCACACACGACGGTGGCCTGGCGGGTCTCACGCTCGCCGGCGGAGCCACCGCAGCAGCCCCATCTATGGACAAGGAAGCCAAGATGAGGGGGATGCCGCTTGTCACAGTCGCCAGCTCACAAGGGGCACAGCCAGGGCAGAAACGGGGACCCCTGGGGACCTCCTGGGCCGGTGCCGGGTGGCGGGTCACGTCAGAGGTGCGTCCTTGCCCGGGAGGTCTGTAACGCCTGCCAGACACACAGACCCGCTGCACAGGGGCGCAGCCGGGACGCGCCCACACACACATGGACGGATGGGACCCTAACTACACCCTAACACGCCAGCACACACCCCAACACACAAGCACCATGTGCTCATGTGGCGCCCCTCACACATGTGTGAATGTGTGCACGTGTGCGCTCGTGATCCCGCATGCACCCGCACACACGTGCTCAGAGGGCAGGGCAGGTGTGTCCTGGGCCGGCCGAGGCCGCTCTGCGGCTCAGGTAACCGGGCCTTGCACCCCGGCCTCCCGAGGACAGGCCGCCTGCCGCCTCCCTGAGGCCTTGCTGGGGGAGGCTGAGTAGGACCCGTGTCCCCGGGGCTCTTTGTCACTCTTCCCCAGAGGCACCAGGCTGAGAGCGGCTGTTCCCCCCCCTCCCCCCGCGCGGGCTGTGGGGTGGACCATTTACCCTGCACCTCCCCCACCCCAGGGCTGCACCCTGGCCCCATGAGGACCCAGCTGTGGGGCAGGCCCTGGACGGAGGGCCTGGCCAGCCCCTTCCTGGTACCCTTGCCCCTCGCCCCCAGCCCTGCCTCTGCACCCCGGCCCCTGCCCAGGAGGCCCCCGGGCCCCTCCCCACTCTGCTCCCTGGAGAACAGCAGGCCCCTGCGCCCCTCTCTCCAGCCCGGCCAGCCTCCTGCCCAGCGAGTGGAGGCTGGGGCGCCCCCAGCCGTCACCCCCACGGCGACCCTGGCCCCTCCCCCGCCGCCGAGGGCAGGAGCTGCGTGGGGCCCGGGGTCCCTGGCACTCACGTGGCCCCTCACGCCCGCTGACCTCCGCAGCCCTTTCCACCGAGCACCCACCTCAGAGACAGCAGGGAGCAATGTGTGAGCTTGCACAGGCAGCAAGACACGATTTTGGCCAAACCCGCTCGACAGGTCCGGGCCGTCCCTGCCAGGAGCAGAAAGGGGGCAGAGACGGCCTGAAGCCGCCTGGCGGGTTCTGCCATCGCGAAGAAAGCGGCCGAACGGGTCCGGCCTGAACCCACATAGAGATGGGATTGTTTCCCCGTAATACCCTGTGGCCCGGCCTCTGGCCAGTTAACAAGGAGAATCCGGGGCCTGCAACACGGGGCCAACGGCGGGGGGAGGGCGCTGGGGGTGGGTGGAGGCAGGCAGGAGGGAGCTGACCTCTGGTCCAGTCACCTGGCGGCAGGCCTGCAGGGGCCCCTCCCGCCTCCCATCCTGGCCTCGGTTTCCCTGTCTGCAAAGTGAGGGCGAGGAGCACAGGGCCTGCTGAGGGTGCCCCGCTGGGTCTGGGGGATGCCCTGCCCAGCACCGCCCCCGAGGGCAGCAGGCAGGCCTGTGGAGGGGGGCAGGCTGGGGGTGCCCTGGGGCTGGGCCAGGGGCGCCTGGGCTGTGGGAGGGGCTGGGCTGTGGTTTGTGTGTTTGCTCTCCGCGTGGTGGCCTTGTGGCTTCACTGGGACGGGTGAGAGCGGCCTCTGCAGGGGCAGCAGCCTCCCCACCTTCGCCCCTGCACCCCACGCCCAGGCCCCCACCACACTCCTCCCCAGACCTCCTCGCACACGCTCCCTGCCCCAACCACCCAGGCCTCCTCCCTCCCCTCTCCACACCCCGCCCCGCCGCTCCTGCTCCCCAGAGGCCCCTGCCGCCACTGGTGCCCGTGACCCAGCCCGGGGGCCTCAGGAGGGCATCCTGGTCAGCCAGGCCTTGGAGCTTTCCAGACGTCCCCTGCACAAGGCCCTCCCCCTCCCGGCTGGACCCTGTGTGAGAGGTGTCCTCGGGCCGCCGGCTGCGAGTTCGGGGTGTTTGCATGTGCCTGCGTGTGCCACGGGAGGGAGTGCAGGCCCATGGCTCCGTCAGGCTCGCGCCTCATCACATGTAGACATGGAATGTAAGTGTTCATGCACCGCACGCGTGACGGAGTTCGCTGAGCACCACATGGTCAGGGGGGCGTGGGACCAGTGGTGCAGGTGAGACCCAGGCCACCTTAGGTCTCTCCTGGCATGTCCGTCAGGCAGCTGTTTACAGAGCATCCACTACGCGCTGGCCCCAGAGTTAGTGATGACCCTGCTCCGGTGAGCTGGGGCCAGTGCTGTGGGGAAGAGAAAGTAAAGGAGGTCTGGTGACGGCTGCGAGTGCCCTTAGGCAGAGTGGGGGACAGGACAGGTGCAGGGACACAGAGGGGGCACAGCCTCTGGGAGCCGCTCGAAGAGGGAGGGGCAGCACTAGAGAGAGGAGGCGGGGCCGCGGGGCCGCTGTTCACTCGACCGCGCATCTCTGGGTTCTCACAGCGGTCCCGGACCCGCCCCTCGGTCGTCTGCTTGGCTCTGGGCGTGGCCCTGGGTGCGTGCGTGGCCGCGACCCTGACATCGCATGTGGGCACCTGGCTCTGAGAATGGCACACGGAGCGGGCCTCGCTGGGCCCGGGCTCAGTCGTCTGCAGCCGAGAGGAAGTCCCGTCGGACTCAGCAGAGAGACTGAGGACAGGGAGACGGCAGCCAGCCTGGCTGCGCCCATTCACTCATTCACCCCTTCATTCTCGGTTTGCTGACGCCCTGGGAGCCGGGTGCTGGGGAGCTGCCGCATTCACCTGGCAGCCTCTGCCCCTCAGATGGCACCCGGCCCAGCCCACGGTGATGGCCTGGACCACCCTGCAGACTCTGGCTTCCCCACCAGGGTCGGGGTGCTGCTTCGAGGCCCACCTGCAGCAGAGTCCAAGGCCCAGGTGGGCTGGGTGGCACCTGCCAGGGCTGCCGGCGGTCAGGGGCTGCTCCCAGAGCCCGTCTCAGGGCTCCCCTGGACCAGGGAGTGCTCCGCACCTGTGAGGGGCTGGAGCCTGGAGCCTGGGGAGGGGTCTGTGCCCCCCAGCGCCTGTCCGCTGGGGCAGCCAGAGGCAAGCTTGGCCCAGAGGTGGGGCAGCCGGCTTTTATCCCTGGCTGGGAGGGGCTGCAGATAAGCCTTCAAAGACGTCTGCGGAAGCACCTTTAGAAGCCTGTCCCGGCTCTGTTTGTGCTGCTGGACTGATAGACAGCAGCCTGGGTCCCAGATAAATGGGTCACCTATTAATAAGGCCTGGCAGAGGGGGCCTGCAGGGGCCCCTGTCCCACCCTCCCTGCAGGGCCCTCCCCCGGACTGTGCATTCCAGACTGCCACTGAGGGGCAGGGAGCGGGTGTGGGCCTGGCCCAGCGGTGGGAGGGCGGTGCCTGGGGATGTCTTGGGGGCAGGGAGGCAGCCCCAACTCTCCCTCCCCAGGCCCTCGGCGCTAGGGGCCTGTTCTTAACACCACACGGTGCCGGCGCAGCAGAGTGAGGAGGGCCCACCTCTCCGAGCTTTGTCAGGGGTCCGCTGACCCTGCTGGCGAGGGTCTGTTTCTGGGCTCTCTGTCTGTCCCATTGGTCTGTGTGTCTGTCCCTGCACCGGTGACCAAGCCATGGAGATCACCGCAGCTTTGTAGCCGGTCCCACGGCCGGGGCCTCAGCCCCCCAACTCCGCTCTCCCCCTCGCCGTTCAGCTGGCTGCTCCGCGTCCTCTCGTCTCTGTGCAAACTTCAGAGTCTGTGCACCCGGTCCCCAGAACCGAGAGCTGGACCCTGACGGGGACCGTGTCCCTCTCCCAAAGTAGACTTCACTGGCCGTGGGGTGGGGGCTCTGGGGACAGGGACCAAGGGCCTGGGGGAGAACCAGAGGGTGCCCTGCATTCTCCGCCTCAGCTTCCTTGGGGGTCAGTGGGGTGCCGCCCCGGCAGGGGTGGGGATTAGACCAGAGACCTCCCCGTGGACGCCAGGTAGTTCCTGCCTCTCAAAGTCCTCCCACATTATGCTGCTTTTTGTTGCAGTTTTGGGGGTCAGCAGCTGGGGAGGGCCCCGACCCCCCAGTCTGTGGGGAGGCATCCGAGACCTGGGGCAGCAATGCTCCCCTCAAGACCCCACCGGAGCCAGGCGGGTAGTTCTGGGCCCTGCCGCCCGGCTCCGGGAAGTTGAAAACTTGTTTTTCTGCTTCCTCGTCCCCGGATGTGACCAGCCCCGACCTCCGATGGCAACGCTCCCGGGCCTCGTAGGTCTGCGAGGAACAGCCTCCGGCTTCCTCGAGCTGCGGGGAAGGGTGGAGAGCGCCTTTGGCCGGTCGGTCGGGGTGACCCAGCCCTCGGGGTTGTGGGGCGGCTGTGGGGCGGAGCAGGCGCTGTGATGGGAGGGGCCCAGCTGGAGCGGGTGCACTGCAGAGGACAAGCCCTCGCTCTCCTGCCTGGCAGGGAGACAGAGTCGAACCCTGAGGCCGCAGCCCCAGGGGCTGCCGCCCAGCAGGGAGTGTGACGTCAGCGAGCCTCGGCACACCCATCTCCGACCTCGCTCATGCATCATAAAGATACAGTGACAGCCCCGGTGTCTCTCGGGAAATACCAATGTTGTTCTGTGAAGAAGGAGAGTTGAAAATATGGAAAGTCGGGATTTTATGTCCAGGAAAAAGCCCAGTTAAATAATGAGGACGAGGGCAGGGAGGTCAGGCTCTCTGTCACGATTGGCCTCTGAGCCCCCTGGAGGGACAAGGTGGGGAGGGGGCTGCCTGCGGCCTCAGGTGGGCGTGGCAGCCTCCAAGGCCCCTGGGAGACCCCCGGGGCCAGCCCGGAGCCCGCCTCTGCCCCAGGGATGCGCAGGGGGCCCAGAGGAGGGATGTGGGTGCCCCAGCAGGTTTCTGCTGGGGAGCGGGTACTCCCAGTGTGTCCTGGGTGGTGGGGCACGGCAGGCAGCGCCCGGCCTCCCGCAAGCTCTGGCCGTCCGGTGACAGGCCGGACGATCCGATGACTGGCTGTCACCCAGTCCTTTACGGAAGGAGAGTCTCCTGGCCACCCGAGCTCTGGGTCGTACGGTGGTTCTGGGTGGTGCAGAATTCAGGTCTTTATTTTACGGCTCAGCTGCAGAGGAAGGGGCCCCGGAGACACTGCGGACAGCCAGGGGGTCGGGGCAGCTCTCCTGGGGTCCCCAGCCCTCGGCTGGGACCTGGTTCACTCCGGGAGCCACCCACCGTGGGCACTCACGGGGGCTGGAGGGCGGGGAGGGGCTTGTCTGGGTGAACGGCTTTTCTTGTCTGGCTGTGGCTGGCCCCGGGGGCTCGGCTCCACGCTGGGGTCTGTGGGACGCACAGGGCAAGACGTCCATCCCCAGTGTCCTGGGCCAGAGTGGGGGGGCCGCCCCTGGGACGCGCAGCGGGAGTGAGGGTCTCCTGACACGCTGGGGGCGTTTCCGTGTTTAGTTAAGGCGCAGTTCCTTCAGTCCGAAATTGGCCGTGTTGAAGCGATCAACCCAGAGGCATGGACGGCATTTACGCTGGTGTGCAACTGCCCCCCCCGCCTAGTTCCAGAACATCGTCACCCCACAGGAGACCCGTACCCACGGGGCAGCCCCCCAGCCCCCGGCCACCCCGATCTGCTTCTGTCTGGAGGGAGCGGCCTGTTCCTGACCACCCATCTCCTGTGTCTGGCTCTGCCCGCTCGGCACGCCCGGGGCCCATCCTCGCTGCGGGCTGTGTCTGCGCCTCACTCCTAATGGCCGACCAGTATTCCACCACAGGCACGGGCCGCAGTCTGTCTGTCCACGCCCCCGACGGACACCGGGCTGTTCGCACCTCTCGGCTGCTGTGCGTGGCGCGGCTGCGGTGCCGGGGCCCCGGGTCTGTGCTCCAGTTGTTTCCGGTGGTTTGGGGTATCGTGCTCAGGTTTCGGGCCCTTCCTGTCCCCTGTCGTTGGAGCTCTTATTATTATTTTTTAAAATCCTCCCCGAGGATATGTTTCTTGATTTGAGAGAGAGAGAGACATTGGTCGGTTGCCTCCCATTTGTGCCCCGATGGGGGTTGGAACCCACAACCCTCTGGTCCACAGGTGACGCTCCAACCCACCGA